AATTACTCAAAATTTGAAAGAAGGCTGAGAACTAGATCTTTTACTGACATGTGAAATTTCATTTATCTATCTGAAATAATACTCAAGTAATAGGCTTTTGAAAAATTTAATGTAGAAAAAGTTTAACTTCCGGTTATCGGAAATAGCTCAAAATTTCATACTGATGTACGATTTTTATATAATACTTATATGTGCAATTTCATCAACCTAGCTGTAACTGTACTCATGTTATCGTGTTTACAGACACTTACACATATCACACACACACACACACAGAGACATAAGACAAAATTGCAAAACTATGTTTTTCCAACTCAGGTTGGTGTAAAACGTCGAAATTTGCAAAAATCTCAATTTTTTAATTATTTTTTAGCGCAATTTCCTAACAGGAATTGCGATTATTAACTCGTCATTTCTGTATGGATGGATGGATGGATGTGCGCAGCTTTGAGTCGTATCTCCTCCTCAACGAAGCAATATCGAGGACAAGTTTCAAAAGCAAATGTTAAGCAAGTTCCGAGGATGATACTGGGCCTTAAAAAATCCGGAATTCCTTCCTGGATTTCCCGGAAAAGCCAAAAAACCTCGAAAAAATGCAGTTTTTGGCCCATATCTCGGCAACCAGACCACTTAGCGACTTGAAACATTTACCAATCGATTCCTGCCATAATTTAGAACAATATTGCCGAAGAAAGTTTTCAAAAATATCCTTTCGTTCGGTCACAAAAAATTAATAAAGAACATTTAAACTGAGCATCGTGTAGGCCTAGGATGATATTTACTTTTTAAACTGAGCATCGTGTAGGCCTACTCGTTAAAATAAAACTATTTCCGTTGATATAGGTTAATATAGTTGTCTTGTTTTTAGCGCAAAAATAACTTGTTTACTTATTAATTCAAACGTTATTTTTGTACCCTATTAATTTATTTATATATGAGAGTGATAGGGAGTTACAATTATAAGGTTTTGTTTCGCTAGGCCTAATCATTTTTTCACATTTTTTAACAACAAACTTAATCACTATCTATTTTTAGATAACATAAGGAAATTGCGCTTAAATTGTCGCTAGACTTTTTATTAACTTTTTTTCACAATTACAAGACTTTTTCTATAGGCCTACTTCGTATATACGAGGAAGTAAAAATTGAAACATGAATTATAATGATAGAAGCACTTAAAATTATGAAAATATCTAATTTTATTATATCCTCATACCCGATATTATTTGGAGAATGTTAAATAAATATTAAATAGGAAATTGATAAGTCTATACATAAGAAACTAAATAGTATCGGCGCCGAACGGTGTGATATATAAATAAATTATGAAGATCTTAAAATGGTCAAAATCAGGTCGTCTATATTACCTATACAAATATTTGAAAAATTAAACACAATTTGAAATTTCACTAAATTTAGCCAGAAAGTGTGCACATTTCCAGCTTTATAATGCACCAGTGTGTTAAAAATAAACCCCATCCGTTTAGAAGTTTGGATTTCTATAAAAGACAAAGCCAGCCAAAGACTTATTTTGATTGATATATGGTCTAACGTGGTTATGTTTAGTGAACGACGATAATGCCCTATTGTATCCATACTTTATCTCACTGTTTAAAATGAACGTGGGCGCCATGGTGCTCACGGTATAGCCAGGGGCGCCAAATCGCCATCTGCCGTGGCGCCGGAGGACGCGCCTGATTCGATAAAGTCAACGATTATTGTTGCCCTTCATGTGTTTAGTGTCTTGTCTTTTTTAAAACTAACATAGGCGCCATAGTGCTCACAGGGGAGCCCTGGGTGCTCCGGGTCGCGCAATCTACGGGGCGCCGGCGGCTGCGCCTGCTGCAGTTTTATCGCTGATTATAGTAGTACCCCTTACCTTGCTTGAAATTTGCTCGGCAGTTTCGATCTATGACGACAGACAGATAGACAGGGAAACAGAGAGACAGAAGAAGCAATTTAAATAAAAGCTTGTGAACATAGAATAAAATCGAGAAAAAAAAAGTAAACATTGTATGCATAATTAAGCCGAAATAATACTACTTTAAAAAGAATCTTTAGTAAATTTTTAAAAGTCATTTGAAGATTTTATTTAGTCACATTTTACGTCTTAGTGCACTGTTATCAAGTCTTGAACTAAGAGGAAAGTTTGAAACAAATCATTGAAATTTTTCTTAGGAATCGGAAAATACAGTAAAGTACTATTTTCAATTACCTAAAATAAATCAAAATTTGACAAAATCAATAGAATAAGATCTTATACCTATTTAAAACATTTCGTCCACCTAATACGAAACTGTAAGTCTACTCAACTTATCGATATTTTAGAACAGGAAATAAACCGGGAGTGATCTCCCCTAAACTTCCTCGAATATTCTTATATGAAACAACAGGGGATGGCAACTCGGGATATAGACATGATTTTTAATCAATTTTGAATACTTAAACTTTTTAAAATAGAATAAAATCTCGTAGAAAAAAAAAGAATTGCACACCAAGTTAACGCCAAATAAAATGTGGATAATAGTGTGGAATATTATTGGTACTTTATAAATTCACATGCGTTTTTGAGAAATCGGAAATAGCTAAAATTACTACTTCCGGTCAACGGAAATTTCTCAAAATTTGATAGGAGTCGGAGAATTAAATCTTTTACTGACGTGAAATTTCAATTATCTATCTGAAATAGTACTCAATTTATAGGTTTTTGAAAAATTGAAAGTAGAATAATTTCTACTTCCGGTTACCGAAAATTGCTGAAAAGTTGATACAGAACTACAAATTTGAAATAATAATTATATTTATAAATGAAATTTCTTCAACCTAGCTGTAATGGTACTAAAGTTATCGTGTTTATAGACACACACACACACACATATATATATATATATATATATATATATATATATATATATATATATATATATATATATATATATATATATATATATATGCGGACAGAATTGCGAAGCCCAGTTTTTCCAACTTGATTGCGCATAAAACGCCTAAATTTTGATAAATCTAGATTTATTATTTTTGCCCGATTAAAATAAGTCCCCTATACTTAGTATATAATGAAGTTTTGATGTTGAAAACGGGGAAAACTGTCAATATTTCATGTGATTTTTGTGTACGCTTACAATACTTCCTCTATACTCTGTATACGAGAAAGTAAAAATGGAACGGTACTTACGTCATCTTGTTATCATTGAAGTTAAATAAAAGTGCATTTTTCGGTTAATAACAATCGCTTGAAATGTTACAGAAATTGTGTGTAGGCCTACATGATGTAATAATAACTCAAATGGTAATCAAATTATTTAGTTTTCGCAGAACCGGAAAAGAGCAAGTACTATTTTTGGTTACCCGAAAGCGATCAAAGTTTGAGAAAAAAATTCATAAAAACGTTTTAATAACAAACTTTTATGTAAAAAGTAGAAAATAAATTATACACTACTATTTAAATTACTATAAAGAAAAGCGTGGGTCACTTTAGTAGCTATTGGATACCGTTACTAATATTTGAGAAGAGACCCACGCTTTTCTTTATAGTATTTTAAATTAGTAGTGTATAATTTATTTTCTACCTTTTAGTGCATTATTACATAAAAGCTTGTTATTAAAACGTTTTTTATGAATTTTTTTCAGTACTTTACATGTCTTATTTACAATAGAGTTACATGACTAAAAACCATTGCGCGCCTATTGAACGTGATGGCGCAGCTATTGAACGTGATGACGCGTGTGGTGTGGTTGGATAGACATGCCTACTAATTTTTTCCAAATTTTAATTAATTCATAAAAAAATTAATTAGGCATCCAATTAAGTCAAATTTAAATTCTGATTGCATTGCCTTCATGTCTTGACTCACGTACTAACTAAGAACCGTATCTGTCAGTTAGAAGTGTCCGAATTTTCGCTCCGGTGTTTCGATCTAGACTGACGACAGACAGACAGAGGCAGTGAATCTAAAAAAAAATGTCTTGTAAAAGCCTAGATTTTCAAATAGTATGCAGGGCTTATGAAATTTCGTGCAACTAACTTGACTGTAGCCAAGTTATCACGTTTACACACAGACATACAGACAAGATCGCAGAACTATTGTTTTTTCGATCCTGGGAAGTAAACAAGGTAATTAAAAAGTCTAGTGACAATTTTAGCGCAATTTCCTTATGTTATCTAAAAATAGCTCTGTCGTAGCGTAAATCAAGAGCAGGGTTAGTAAAACCATTGGTTAGTTATTAAAACGTTTTTTTATTAAAAGAAAATTTCAGTATTTTACATGTTTTATTTACAATAGCGTTACATGACTAAAAACCATTGCGCGCCTAGCTACCGAACGTGATGTCGCAGCCATTGAACATGATGGCGCAGCTATTGAACGTGATGACGCGTGTGGTGTGGTTGGATAAAAATGCCTACTAATTCGGTCCAAATTTTAATTAATTAAAAAAAAAAATTTGTGACCGAACGAAAGGATATTTTTGAAAACTTTCTTCGGCAATATTGTTCTAAATTATGGCAGGAATCGATTGGTAAATGTTTCAAGTCGCAAAGTGGTCTGGTTGCCGAGATATGAGCAAAAAACTGCATTTTTTCGAGGTTTTTTGGCTTTTCCGGGAAATCCAGGAAGGAGTTCCGGATTTTTTTAGGCCCACAATCATCCTCGGAACTTGCTTAACATTTGCTTTTGGAACTTGTCCTCGATATTGCTTCGTTGAGGAGGAGATACGACTTAAAGACACACATCCATTCATTCATACATTCATACATCCAGAAATGACGGGTTAATAAACGCAATTCTCCAGAATGGAAATTGCGCTAAAAACTTCGAGATTTGTGAAAATCTCGATTACGATTATTTTCACGATTATAATACTTCCTCTATAATTCTATGTATACAAGAAAGTACAAATAAACTCAAAATAATGCGCAATTGAATATGAACGTGTTGTTAATGATACAGATCTATATGGTGCACACCGATGTTGAACGTAGATCGACTAGAAATGACGTCCATAAACATACTCGGATATTGTCTTTAAATATTTTTTTGATTTTACGTTAAGATGATTTTTATCTATGTTCGTCGTACACTTATACGTTCTCTGGCACTTATGCATTACCCAAGCAGGGTTTCAGAAACAGCAGCAAAATTTGTATGATATAAGTATTGGTAAGCCTTCTGCAATGACACCATATGATGTAAGACGATATAAACTTAAACTAGCCAACGGAGAATACCTTATCTGTAAAATAATGAATGTAGATATCAGTATGGAGGCTGTATATAAAATTGATCTTGGTGAGCTTTTGCCAGTGGTTCATATTAGCATTGCTGGGTATTTTACAACAAAGCTCAATGAGAAACTGAGTGTTTATCTCGATAACACACTTTGCGCAACGCCAATGTTTGAATCAAAGTATACATTAAAAGATTTTCGATGCCGCAACTATGTAAAAGGTCGCATGTTTGTTGTCAAAACCAAAGTCAGCTTCTTTCTATGCAGTGCAAATGTTTACACGTGTAAGGCGGGTACATACGGTGATAATTGCCAGTATGTGTGTCAGCCAGGATCATTTGGGCTCGGCTGTATACAGCAATGTCGATGTAGAAACAACGTTTCTTGTCATTTTGTTACTGGCCACTGTGCCTCTGGCTGCCAAAGGCTACACTATAACGAAAATGAAGGTTGTCTTTCTAAATCGATTACAGCAAGTGAAAAAGAAATGCTAGGTTTGACTACTTCCTCAGTCAGCCACCTTTATACACTCCCGTCTGTTGAAATCTTCAAATCGTTTTTATTAACAAGCACGTCCATAAAAACAGCTCCCCTGTCACCGTGGTTATTAAGCAAACAGTGTATCGAGTTAACAGCTCCAAGTGGTGTTGCTACTGTTAGTGTAGTCATCGTACATCGTGTAGAAGTTGCCCTGCACGGCTTTATTGTCACCCATACAATGTTCAATATATCGCCGCCATTTTCTGTTCAGTTGTCGGCGGAAAACGCTACCTGTTTTATGCATACGACGACGACGCCTTTAGCAGTAGGCCGACACATTTTTCACTGCCAGAGAAAGGGAACAAGAGGTCGCTCGGTGAAACTGACCTACACAAGTCTCAGCAGCGGAACGGACAGAAATCTTACGGTCGGCCTGTGCGGGCTAGGGCTTCTACGATGTTCGAAAGGTTTTTATGGTCCAGGTTGTAGGTTGCCATGCAACTGCTGGCAAGGTGAAAGTTGTGATAGCTCAAGTGGAACGTGCAAGTCAAATGGTTGCTATGAGGGGCATAAAGGTCGAAACTGTGCTTCAGTGGATGTGGTCAGTCCAACTGGTATAATCAAATACTATGCAACCTTTGAAAATGTAAGTCTTTCAACTCGAGTACATGTTTTCTTATTATCTTTAGGATGTTATTTTTGCTGTAGGACTGTTGCATATTTCAACATCGTCCTTTACATTTGAATGTATAAATATTTCCCTTACTACGTTCACAATGTCTGTTTGTTGTTGAGTGTGTGGCAAACCTTGTACCTCAATTATGACCTAGATCGAAATGTCAATTTAATTAGAAATTTAATTGGTAATTAAAAATTTATTAAAATTATATTTAAGGGTTACTGTATTCAAGAATAAAAGAGAAGATAACAAGATTAAATACTGGAGGTCTCTCAACCAGATGGCCTTCGATAGTGAACTGATGTTATATTTTTTATGACTGGTTGATCTTGTGTCTGAATGTTGACCACTAAGTTGGGGCAGATAACTGGCTTTTAATCATTAAAATTTAATTTCAAAATTACTAAATTTAGTAGCAAAAGGTGCGATAACAACAGGATTAACGTGAAGCAGTTACTCGATCAACCTGTTTACAAAGGTGAACTGTGTGTCACGGACGGCTGATTTCCACGGACGGAGCTAATGTTTGTGTTTGATAACAATTACTTTTAGTCGTATCTGATGTCGATTTTTTATCTAAGAAAGGGAAGGTAATGGTCTTTAAGATATAGCAAGCAACTGATCTGGTTTTTAGCGCAAATGTTTTTAGTTGTAGATCTGAGGTGACAGTTATCTTTTATAACGAATCAAAGGAGGGAAAGCTAAAACAAATCTAAACACCTTAATAAAAAAATTTGCTCTCATTAATAAAATAATTTTCGGTGCATTTAAAAAAGCTTGCTATTATAAAGGTTTTATATTTGCTTTTTTTTAAGTTCACTGTCAAACTTCTTATATACCCTCCCTTGTGCATAATACTGTCATGCTTTTTAAGATGAACTTGAATCTTGGGCCTTCGCAAGTAATGGAATCATTCTACGACCATACAACAGGGAACTGGCAAACATGGTGGGCTGTGCAGTTAGATGCTGTATACGACATAAACAGTCTAACCATTGAACTCGATGTTCGTTACACTATACGGTAAATACAAATTATAGGCCCCATATTTTTCAGATTTTTTTTATTTTATCGGTATTTGTTTTGGTATTTTGTGTTAAATATGTGAATATTTTATAGGTATAAGATTATCTACTATACTTACTTAAAAATGTATATCAAAACATAAAAAAATAAATTTAAAAGTAATCCAAAAAATATATACGGAAAAGTAACAAGTGTTAAGTATCATTCCTCTACTATATAAACGTGTAGAACCTGTAAGTATACCGGGATTTGAAAAAAAGAAAATAGAGCATGTAGTTCATAGAGGTCCGTTGTCTGACAGGAATTCAAGTAGACGACATTCATGAGAACTATACTGGCGGAGCTTTGAACTTACCGTACAGCTATATCGTATGTAGTTGCAACCTCAAGCTTATATGTTAAAATATCTAGTCAATTCTGGAATGAGTAGCCTACGTTCTACAACTGTTTATATCCCTCATGATGTCTGTATATAACACTGGGCATAATGTTTATGTTTAGCCTGATCCCTGTATATAACACTGGGCATAATGTTTATGTTTAACCGGGTCATATGTATGTAACATTGGGCAGAATGTTTATGTTTAGCCTGATCCCTGTATATAATACTGGGCATAATGTTTATGTTTAGCCTGATCACTGTATATAATATTGGGCAGAATGTTTACGTTTAACCGGGTCATGTGTATGTAACATTGGGCATAATGTTTATGTTTAGCCTGATCACTGTATATAACATTGGGCAGAATGTTTACGTTTAACCGGGTCATGTGTATGTAACATTGGGCATAATGTTTATGTTTAGCCTGATCACTGTTTATAACATTGGGCATAATGTTTATGTTTAGCCTGATCACTGTATATAACATTGGGCAGAATGTTTACGTTTAACTGGGTCATGTGTATGTAACATTGGGCATAATGTTTATGTTTAGCCTGATCACTGTATACAACATTGGGCAGAATGTTTATGTTTAGCCTGATCACTGTAAATAACATTGGGCAGAATGTGTATGTTTAGCCAGATCACTGTAAATAACATTGGGCATAATGTTTATGTTTAGCCTGATCACTGTATATAAAATTGGGCATAATGTTTATGTTTAGCTTGATCACTGTATATAACATTGGGCAGAATGTTTACGTTTAACCGGGTCATGTGTCTATAACATTGGGCATAATGTTTATGTTTAGCCTGATCACTGTTTATAACATTGGGCATAATGTTTATGTTTAGCCTGATCACTGTATATAACATTGGGCAGAATGTTTACGTTTAACTGGGTCATGTGAATGTAACATTGGGCATAATGTTTACGTTTAGCCTGATCACTGTATACAACATTGGGCAGAATGTTTATGTTTAGCCTGATCACTGTAAATAACATTGGGCAGAATGTGTATGTTTAGCCAGATCACTGTAAATAACATTGGGCATAATGTTTATGTTTAGCCTGATCACTGTATATAAAATTGGGCATAATGTTTATGTTTAGCTTGATCACTGTATATAACATTGGGCAGAATGTTTACGTTTAACCGGGTCATGTGTCTATAACATTGGGCATAATGTTTATGTTTACCTTGATCACTGTCTATAACATTGGGCATAATGTTTATGTTTAGCCTGATCCCTGTATATAACACTGGGCATAATGTTTATGATTAGCCTGATCACTGTTTATAACATTGGGCAGAATGTTTACGTTTAACCGGGTCATGTGTATGTAACATTGGGCATAATGTTTATGTTTAGCCTGATCACTGTATATAACATTGGGCATAATGTTTATGTTTAGCCTGATCACTGTATATAACATTGGGCATAATGTTTATGTTAAGCTTAATCATTGTATATAACATTGGGCATAATGTTTATGTTTAGCCTGATCACTGTTTATAACATTGGGCATAATGTTTATGTTTAGCTTAATCACTGTATATAACATTGGGCAGAATGTTTATATTTAGCCTGATCACTGTATATAACATTGGGAATAATGTTTATGTTTAGCCTGATCACTGTATATAACATTGGGCATAATGTTTATGTTTAGCCTGATCACTGTATATAACATTGGGCAGAATGTTTATGTTTAGCCTGATCCCTGTATATAATACTGGGCATAATGTTTATGTTTAGCCTGATCACTGTATATAACATTGGGCAGAATGTTTACGTTTAACCGGGTCATGTGTATATAACATTTGGCAGAATGTTTATGTTTAGCCTGATCACTGTATATAACATTGGGCAGAATGTTTATGTTTAGCCTGATCACTGTATATAACATTGGGCAGAATGTTTACGTTTAACCGGGTCATGTGTATATAACATTGGGCAGAATGTTTATGTTTAGCCTGATCACTGTATATAACATTGGGCAGAATGTTTATGTTTAGCCTGATCAGTGTATATAACATTGGGCAGAATGTTTACGTTTAACCGGGTCATGTGTATGTAATATTGGGCATAATGTTTATGTTTAGCCTGATCACTGTATATAACATTGGGCAGAATGTTTATGTTTAGCCTGATCACTGTATATAACATTGGGCATAATGTTTATGTTTAGCCTGATCACTGTATATAGCATTGGGCAGAATGTTTATGTTTAACCGGGTCATGTGTATGTAACATTGGGCATAATGTTTATGTTTAGCCTGATCACTGTATATAACATTGGGCATAATTTTTATGTTTAGCTTGATCACTGTATATAACATTTGGCATAATGTTTATGTTTAGCCTGATCACTGTATATAACATTGGGAATAATGTTTATATTTAGCCTGATCACTGTATATAACATTGGGCATAATGTTTATGTTTAGCCTGATCACTGTATATACCATTGGGCAAATGTTTATGTTTAGCCTGATCACTGTATATAACATTGGGCATAATGTTTATGTTTAGCCTGATCACTGTATATAACATTTGGCATAATGTTTATGTTTAGCCTGATCACTGTATATAACATTGGGCAGAATGTTTACGTTTAACCGGGTCATGTGTATGTAACATTGGGCATAATGTTTATTTTTAGCCTGATCCCTGTATATAACATTGGGCATAATGTTTATGTTTAGCCTGATCACTGTATATAACATTGGGCAGAGTGTTTATTTTTAGCCTGATCCCTGTATATAACATTGGGCATAATGTTTATGTTTAGCCTGATCACTGTATATAACATTGAGCATAATGTTTATGTTTAGCCTGATCACTGTATATAACATTGGGCATAATCGTTATGTTTAGCCTGATCACTGTAAATAACATTGGGCAGAATGTTTATGTTTAGCCAGATCACTGTAAATAACATTGGGCATAATGTTTATATTTAGCTTGATCACTGTATATAACATTGGGCAGAATGTTTACGTTTAACCGGGTCATGTGTCTATAACATTGGGCATAATGTTTATGTTTAGCCTGATCACTGTATATAACATTGGGCATAATGTTTATGTTTACCTTGATCACTGTCTATAACATTGGGCAGAATGTTTATGTTTAACCGGGTCATGTGTATATAACATTGGGCATAATGTTTATGTTTAGCCTGATCACTGTATATAACATTGGGCAGAATTTTTATGTTTAGCCTGATCACTGTATATAACATTGGGCATAATGTTTATGTTAAGCTTAATCTTTGTATATAACATTGGGCATAATGTTTATGTTTAGCTTAATCACTGTATATAACATTGGGCAGAATGTTTATATTTAGCCTGATCACTGTATATAACATTGGGAATAATGTTTATGTTTAGCCTGATCACTGTATATAACATTGGGCATAATGTTTATGTTTAGCCTGATCACTGTATATAACATTGGGCAGAATGTTTATGTTTAGCCTGATCCCTGTATATAATACTGGGCATAATGTTTATGTTTAGCCTGATCACTGTATATAACATTGGGCATAATGTTTACGTTTAACTGGGTCATGTGTATGTAACATTGGGCATAATGTTTATGTTTAGCCTGATCACTGTATATAACATTGGGCAGAATGTTTACGTTTAACAGGGTCATGTGTATATAACATTGGGCAGAATGTTTATGTTTAGCCTGATCACTGTATATAACATTGGGCATAATGTTTATGTTTAGCCTGATCACTGTATATAACATTGGGCATAATGTTTATGTTTAGCCTGATCACGGTATATAGCATTCGGCAGAATGTTTATGTTTAACCGGGTCATGTGTATGTAACATTGGGCATAATGTTTATGTTTAGCCTGATCACTGTATATAACATTGGGCATAATGTTTATGTTTAGCCTGATCACTGTATATAACATTGGGCATAATGTTTATGTTTAGCTTGATCACTGTATATAACATTGGGCAGAATGTTTACGTTTAACCGGGTCATGTGTATATAACATTGGGCAGAATGTTTATGTTTAGCCTGATCACTGTATATAACATTGGGCAGAATGTTTATGTTTAGCCTGATCAGTGTATATAACATTGGGCAGAATGTTTACGTTTAACCGGGTCATGTGTATGTAATATTGGGCATAATGTTTATGTTTAGCCTGATCGCTGTATATAACATTGGGCAGAATGTTTATGTTTAGCCTGATCACTGTATATAACATTGGGCATAATGTTTATGTTTAGCCTGATCACTGTATATAGCATTGGGCAGAATGTTTATGTTTAACCGGGTCATGTGTATGTAACATTGGGCATAATGTTTATGTTTAGCCTGATCACTGTATATAACATTGGGCATAATTTTTATGTTTAGCTTGATCACTGTATATAACATTTGGCATAATGTTTATGTTTAGCCTGATCACTGTATATAACATTGGGAATAATGTTTATATTTAGCCTGATCACTGTATATAACATTGGGCATAATGTTTATGTTTAGCCTGATCACTGTATATACCATTGGGCAAATGTTTATGTTTAGCCTGATCACTGTATATAACATTGGGCATAATGTTTATGTTTAGCCTGATCACTGTATATAACATTTGGCATAATGTTTATGTTTAGCCTGATCACTGTATATAACATTGGGCAGAATGTTTACGTTTAACCGGGTCATGTGTATGTAACATTGGGCATAATGTTTATTTTTAGCCTGATCCCTGTATATAACATTGGGCATAATGTTTATGTTTAGCCTGATCACTGTATATAACATTGGGCAGAGTGTTTATTTTTAGCCTGATCCCTGTATATAACATTGGGCATAATGTTTATGTTTAGCCTGATCACTGTATATAACATTGAGCATAATGTTTATGTTTAGCCTGATCACTGTATATAACATTGGGCATAATCGTTATGTTTAGCCTGATCACTGTAAATAACATTGGGCAGAATGTTTATGTTTAGCCAGATCACTGTAAATAACATTGGGCATAATGTTTATATTTAGCTTGATCACTGTATATAACATTGGGCAGAATGTTTACGTTTAACCGGGTCATGTGTCTATAACATTGGGCATAATGTTTATGTTTAGCCTGATCACTGTATATAACATTGGGCATAATGTTTATGTTTACCTTGATCACTGTCTATAACATTGGGCAGAATGTTTATGTTTAACCGGGTCATGTGTATATAACATTGGGCATAATGTTTATGTTTAGCCTGATCACTGTATATAACATTGGGCAGAATTTTTATGTTTAGCCTGATCACTGTATATAATATTGGGCATAATGTTTATGTTAAGCTTAATCTTTGTATATAACATTGGGCATAATGTTTATGTTTAGCTTAATCACTGTATATAACATTGGGCAGAATGTTTATATTTAGCCTGATCACTGTATATAACATTGGGAATAATGTTTATGTTTAGCCTGATCACTGTATATAACATTGGGCATAATGTTTATGTTTAGCCTGATCACTGTATATAACATTGGGCAGAATGTTTATGTTTAGCCTGATCCCTGTATATAATACTGGGCATAATGTTTATGTTTAGCCTGATCACTGTATATAACATTGGGCATAATGTTTACGTTTAACTGGGTCATGTGTATGTAACATTGGGCATAATGTTTATGTTTAGCCTGATCACTGTATATAACATTGGGCAGAATGTTTACGTTTAACAGGGTCATGTGTATATAACATTGGGCAGAATGTTTATGTTTAGCCTGATCACTGTATATAACATTGGGCATAATGTTTATGTTTAGCCTGATCACTGTATATAACATTGGGCATAATGTTTATGTTTAGCCTGATCACGGTATATAGCATTGGGCAGAATGTTTATGTTTAACCGGGTCATGTGTATGTAACATTGGGCATAATGTTTATGTTTAGCCTGATCACTGTATATAACATTGGGCATAATGTTTATGTTTAGCCTGATCACTGTATATAACATTGGGCATAATGTTTATGTTTAGCTTGATCACTGTATATAACATTGGGCATAATGTTTATGTTTAGCCTGATCACTGTATATAACATTGGGCATAATGTTTATGTTTAGCCTGATCACTGTATATAACATTGGGCATAATGTTTATGTTTAGCCTGATCACTGTATATAACATTGGGCATAATGTTTATGTTTAGCCTGATCACTGTATATAACATTGGGCAGAATGTTTACGTTTAACCGGGTCATGTGTATGTAACATTGGGCATAATGTTTATGTTTAGCCTGATCACTGTATATAACATTGGGCATAATGTTTATGTTTAGCTTGATCACTGTATATAACATTTGGCAGAATGTTTATGTTTAGCCTTGTCATTGTATATAACATTGGGCAGAATGTTTATATTTAGCCTGATCACTGTATATAACATTGGGCATAATGTTTATGTTTAGCCTGATCACTGTATATAACATTGGGCATAATGTTTATGTTTAGCTTGATCACTGTATATAACATTTGGCAGAATGTTTATGTTTAGCCTTGTCATTGTATATAACATTGACCAGACAATTCTGACAATAGTTGCCATTGTTCTCTAGAGATGTCCTTTTACAAGTCTACACAAGCAATGATGGACTGGCTTTAGTGACGGCAACTACCGAGCAGTTTTGGAGAGGCTTAAGCTGTACCATATATGTACCAAGCCTCAGGTCTATAACCGATGTACCATGTTCTTCACATGCAAACACTGTCATCATAGTGATGCAAACTTCAGACAAGTTCCATTATTTATCATTCTTGAGCATCAAGGTAATGTTTTCTCTCAAGATACCATTAGGAAAGATATGACTGGAGCATGTTAGACCGCTAGCTAACCAGAATTTCTTCCAGGTATCTCTTCGTACCCCCCCCCCCCCCCGAACGAAATGGAATTTATGTAGAAAATATATACTTTTAACAGTGTCCGAACCCCCCCCCCCCCCCCCGAGAAAAATGTCCGGAAGAAACACTGTAGCTAACATTATTTCTTGGCTAGAGAAGTGAACATTAGCTATTGGCTAAAGAAGTGAACATTAGCTATTGGCTAGAGAAGTAAACATTAGTTATTGGCAAGAGAAGTGAACATCAGTTATTGGCTAAAGAAGTGAACATTAGTTATTGGCTAAAGAAGTGAACATTAGTTATTGGCTAAAGAAGTGAACATTAGTTATTGGCTAAAGAAGTGAAAATTAGTTATTGGCTAAAGAAGTGAACATTAGTTATTGGCTAGAGAAGTGAACATTAGTTATTGGCTAGAGAAGTGAACATTAGTTATTGGCTAGAGAAGTGAACATTAGTTATTGGCTAAAGAAGTGAACATTAGTTATTGGCTAAAGAAGTGAACATTAGTTATTGGCTAAAGAGGTGAACATTAGCTATTGGCTAGAGAAGTGAACATAGGTATCGTTCAAGAGGTGACTATAATATGTGGCAGCGATATTTTGACATCTTTATACAGCGTACCAGATATGACTTTAATATGTGGCAGCGATATTTTGACATCTTTATACAGCGTACCAGTTATAACCAAATCGCTTCTGCTCAGGTGTGGGCCTGTACAGATGGGACCTATGGATATAATTGTGAAGGGATTTGCAGATGTCGAGATGAATCGGAAATCTGCCACAAAATTACAGGATCATGTACAAGTGGATGCGCCTTTGGCTTTCAGTAAGCAAATACCTAGTTAAGACCAGGAGGCCTAGTCATCAAAGTGATTTGGACTTTTGGTAATGTTATCTATTTGCTCGATTACATGGGAGTTTATACAATTGTTCTGATACTCATCTTTTTTTTTTAATTGAAGCAAATACGTTTAGATTTCTAAAAAAATTTATGGTAGGCCTATTTATTTATTTTAAGACGAAAATTTAAAATTACTGATCAGCTCTTTTGTTTGACTTTTCCGAAGCCAGTGTAACCTGAGACGCATATTTGAGTTATCATTGACTAGAAAATCTGTATGCAGGGTAGCCGCTACCATTTCCCATTTTCGTTCGTTTTTAAACATAATGCGAGTAAACCTGGTGGTCAATAATAATAGGAGAATAGGATGTGTTGGGGACGGGAGTTCTTATAATGTGGAATCATTTGAAGATATCTTGGGGTGGTGGATGGTGGTCCAGCGATGAAAATAATATATAAGGGGTGTTCTGGTAATGATATAAAATATGTATGTTGAGGGTCCTAGTGACGAATATAATATATAAGGGGTGTTCTGGTAATGATATAAAATATGTATGTTGAGGGTCCTAGTGACGAATATAATATATAAGGGGTGTTCTGTAATGATATAAAATATGTATGTTGAGGGTCCTAGTGACGAATATAATATTATCTTTGTGGTAGGGTGTGTGTGTGTCAACGTGTGTGTCATTTCAACACGGCGTGTTAACATTCCTACATAGTTTGTAACTCTATACCAAAAATAAACCGGTAGTGATCTCCCCTAAACTTTCTCGAATATTCTTAAATTACACTACGGGCGGTGGCAACTCGGGATATAGACAATATTTAAATCCATTTTTAATTACTTAAACTTTTAAAAAAGATAGAATCTCGTGGAAAAGAGAATTGCACACCAAGTGAAAGCGAAATAAAATGTGTATAATAGTGCGGAATATTATTAGTACTTTATAAATTCAGATGCGTTTTTTGAGAAATCGGAAATAGCCTAAATTACTACTTCCGGTCAACGGAAGTTTCTCAAAATTTAAAAAAAGGTAGAGAGTAAGATTTTTTACTTTTATGTGAAATTTCATTTTTTAATCTGAAATAGTACACAAGTTAGAGACCTTTGAGTAGAAAAGGCTCCACTTCCGGTTATCGGAAATCGCTCAAAAGTTGATACGGATCTACAAATTTGATATAGAATCTAATACGTATATCGGAAATGTCATCAACCTAGCTGTAACGGTACTCAAGTTACAGTGTTTACACACACACGCACAAACACACACACACACACACACACACATACACACACAGACATACGGACAAGATTGCAAAACTATGTTTTTCCGACTCAGGGAGTTGTAAAAACGTCGAGATTTACAAAAATCTTGATTTTTTTTTTTTTTGCACGATTACAATACTTTCTCTATACTTTGTTGTATATAAGAAAATAATAACACAAATACAAATGTTAAAATGTTAACAGTAAAAGTGTTTAATTTTAACAACTACATCCTTTTCTTAAACTTCGTTTGTTTCTTTTTTTTTTTCCTCCTTTCTTTTATGATAGGGTTTAAAAGTGAACTGAATATGATTAAGACTAATATTTCTATTATTTTCTTCCAAAAAAGCACGATATTCCTCATGCCACGGAAAAAAGTTTTGGGTTTTTACCGAGGTGTCCAATATTGGCAGAGTTTGACTGCAGTATTTTTCAATGATGCATATTCTTGTGTCTGCATAGAAATCAGTATTATTTTTTTCACTTAATTGTGATCCTCAAAAGAAATATTTTGCTTTTACTTTCTTGTAATCATCAAAGAATTTTTTTTCAAAAAAACTTTTAAAAATTCTCTTACAAATTAATTTGTTTTCCACTTTGTTATCACCCCTAGGCAAGACGAGAGACGTCGATGTTTGGCTATAAACACTAGAGAGTTTGCCGATTGCCACTGCATGAATCCAGCTCAGTGTGGAGCTGGCTATCCTCACTGTTCTGATGGCTGTCTGCCAGGATGGACCGGAGACAACTGCAATCTTTCTTGCCCAACTGGAACTTACGGGTTCAACTGCATGCACACTTGCGACTATTGCATTGCTGGTACATTTGATTCTTTTAGAAGCATTTGGATAATCTTAAAGATAAGATTAAAAATCTAAACATAACTGAATGTAATTTACATTACTTTACTATTCAAGTTATCCCGATATTAACAATCTAGCTCAGTTCTACAGTGTACTCAATATCTTTACTAACACTTGTTTTCGCTGCTAAATTTACACAGAAGTTTTGTTTACCTGGTTACAGGGAGTCCTTGTTCATTGTAGGCTTAGAGTGATTCACACATAGGCCTACTTATTCTAGCTTTGTTTCTGCTTATTTATTTTATACTAGTCCACTTTAAATTAGTACCTTGAACGTTAAGTTCAACTTTTAAAAAGTAAATACATTCCTGCACGTTTTATTTTTCAATGGCTTTGAAAACACTGTATTGTTTTAAAAATCGACAACTGCAATATTTCGTATCAATAAAAATCAATGAGGTTTTATTTATAATCTCTAGGATCGAACAATCTATCTTGTCTGTCTGAGGATGGAACCTGCTTGTTTGGGTGTGCCGATGGTACAATCGAATGCCGGTCTATGTTACGAAGCGAAGAATCTTCGAGCGTGTCCTACAGCGTTAAAGTAGTTATAGTAACAATCGTGGCATGTGTCTTCGGTGCTGTCATCTGTGGTATTGTTTGTAAACTTTGCTGGCTCAGGGTTATCAATACAGAGGCTGAAAAAACAAAAATAAAAAATCTACGTTTGAAACGAGAATTTAATAAGGAAGTCAACGATCAGGTAATTTCTTACGTTTGATGGCATGTGTATTTATATAATGCAAAGTGGTCGGATACCGGTTAGGATACTTGCCGGTGCCGCAGGTGCTTCAAATTTGGCAGGCTGTCGCGTCAGCGAATAGAATATAGGAGGAAAAGCCCATCCACGACGAGTGGGTGAAAACTGACCACAGCTGACCAAAGACTAATACAAGATGTATATCGAAAAATATTCCCATGATAATTCCTGAAACATAACAAATTTAGTCAAAGCTTACCAGAAGCGTATTTCCTTATATTAACATTGATAATTTTGTTTAAACTTATGTTCTGTACATCTAACTATGATTTGTACACGGCCATTTGTTGTCGCTCAGACGCTTCGCCGAGGGCTAAAAACTGACATAAGCCTATAAATAAAAAAAACATTAAGTCAACACCCCCTGATATTTTTATGTTAAAAAAATAAATTATCATAAACCAGTAACATATTAGTAACTAAGCACAGTAACTTCACACTGACACAAATCATAATAATTACTGTCAAAACTATGTTTTATCCAGTTCAAATAATAAACTAGAAGGGGGATGCCACTAACCAAACTCAATATTTTAATAGTTTTTCATGGTTTATGAATAATGTTTTTTCTTGCTTTTAAGTTTGCAAAATGATGAATAAGTTCATTGAGATCCATTTTAGCTGTTTCGGAATGGTCGATACTTAGGATAGCCAAGTCACTAACATATTGGCATATTTACAATATGTTTCATTACATCATCAAAATGAGCAAACAATGAGAGTTTTTTAATTAAAAAAACATTTTAGACATTAAAATCCCGATGGCCACTGAATGATAAAAAGTTTTTTCGCAAGCTGATCAACCTTCTCGCGTTGCTATGGTCTAGTCCTACACACCAGAGTGATAAAACATTTTAATAGGGTTTCATCAACGCGATATCAATCGTGAGCCGCGTTTTCAACAGCGTCGGTGCTGTATTTACCGGTTCCTTGTTGTATGGGCATGTGTGTCAGATGAACAGTCCTATTTCCTAATTGTAAATGATTGTGAAAATGAGGCAAAGTTTAAAAAAGGTATTTTTGGTTACTTAGGCTCTGTAACATTGGTCTGCTAACCTGAAAGTCTCAAGTTCGGTTCCTGGCTAAAGTCGTACTACGTCCACCCGCTATTGAGTGATGGGTACCAGACTTTCCTTCATGGCGGCATGGCATTGTGCATTCCCAGTATCCCTTCATTTGCAGAAACACTTGAATTCTACTTCATCTGCCCCGTGGGTCGCCAAGTCAGGAAAGGAACTTAACTTTATGCTCTGTACATCTGGTCTTTTTTTTTTTTTTTTTGCATGGGCGTATGTGAAAATGCTTGGTCAGACTTGAAGACTTTGAAGATCCGTTAAAAGTAAAAAATAAGTCTAGATCTACTTCATTATTGCCATTCTCTCTCTCTCTCTCTCTCTCTCTCTCTCTCTCCCTCTCCCTCTCTCTCTCTCTCTCTCTCTCATTAATCAGTATTTCCTTTCTAAAGTACTAATTTTCCTCTCATCTTCAAAGACATTGTTTGCGTTCATTTTGGTGCGCAATCCTTTTTACTTTCTCATATACGAAGTGTAGAGGAAGTATTGTTATCGTGCAAAAATTTGAAATCGAGATCTTCACAAATATCGTCGTTTTACACCTCCCTGATTAGGAAAAACATAGTTTTGCAGTTATGTCTGTATGTCTGTGTCTGTATGTATGTGTTTATGTGTATGTGTGTATGTGTGTATGTCTGTGAACACGATAACTTGAGTACCGTTACAGCTAGGTTGATGAGATTTCATAAATAAGTGTTTTATTAGGGGTCGGCGTGGTCGAGTCGGTAAAGCTCATGGTTGCTAAACCGAAAAGTCTCGAGTTCGAACCCTCGGGCAAATGAGGCTCGTTAGCTGGGGACAGCCACTCTTCTAGGAGAGACAACTCCAAAATTAAACAACTGCTGCCTTGCAGTTTGTTCTTGGTTGGACAAAGGCTATGGAAGCAAATCCAATAAAATACTTAAAAAAAACTTTTTAAAAAACCACGTTTTTCTTGTGGACTAAAAAGTAGAAAATAACTATTTACATACATTTGATGACAAAAAACGTGGGTTCACCATCAAATTTCCCGACCCATCTGCCCGACCCACGTTTTTTGTCATCAAATGTATGTAAATAGTTATTTTCTACTTTTTAGTCCACAAGAAAAACGTGGTTTTTTAAAAAGTTTTTTTTAAGTATTTTATTTTCTCCTTTTTAGTCCGTTGCTACACATGAAAAACGTGGTTTTTAAAAAAGTTTTTTATATAGTTTATTTTCTACTTTATCTAATGACTTGATTAAGTATGACTTGACTAAGTGTATATAAATACACGGACTAAAAAAATCTTGAGCGACCAGGATTCGAACCTGGGTTGTCGCGGCCACAACGCGAAGTACTAACCACTATACGATCACGGCCAGCGCGCTCACATCGATTGGGGCCGAAGTAACTGTGTCTATAAGCCTCCAGTCTTGTCGGTATCTTTAGAAATCATGTCCTCAATTTTATGGTCCTTTGGGCGTAATTAAATTAAGCTAATTACGGTCTCTAATTGCTAGTTTTTATGATTGCATCTGAAATTGTTAGGCGAAAGTAACCTGCATGCCAAATTTCAGATCTATAGAGCAATCAGAAGTGGGCTAATTTTCGATGTCAATTTTAACAACAAACACATCCACGCGAAGCTGAGTTAATAAAAACGTGTTAAAAAGAAAAGCAGGCTAAAATCGGAGTCAATGGCCTCAATGGCGCATAACCAGTTGACACGTAACGCTTAATTGTGTTGGAGGCGTGGTCGAGTCGGCAAAAAGTTCATGGTTGATAAATTCGAACAAAAGTCTCGAGTTCAAACCCACTGGCAGATAAATCTCGATCCCCTTCAACACTAATAATTAAGAACGAAGAAGAAGAAGAAGAAGAAGAAGTGTTTTATTGAATTTGTAGTTCTGAATCAACTTTTTGGTGATTTGCAATACCGGAAGTGGAACTTATTCTACTTTTGGTTTTTCAAAAGCTTATAACTTGCGTACTGTTTCTGATAGATAAACGAAATTTAACATTATTAAAAGATCCAATTGTGTGCTTGCTATCAAGTTTTGAGTAATTTCCAGTAGTAATTTTTCCTTTTTTCGATTTCTCAAAAAAAAAAAACGAATATGAATTTATAAAGTACTAAGATCCAGCACTATTATCAGAGTTTCTGTCAGGCATCTCTTCGGGGGCGCGGAGCCACCCCCCCCCCCCCCTCCTCCCGAAGAAAGTCTACCGCCCCACTGCCCCGAACGAATTGGAATTTATATTGAAAACATACTTTTACCTGTGTCGTCCCCGGAAAATGTTGATCGCCCCCCCCCAAATATCAAGCGCTCCCCCCCCCCACCCCCGGAGAAAAAAGTCTGGAAGAAACACTGACTATTATACACTTGCCATACACTTGGTGTGCAATTCTTTTTTCTAAGACATTCTACTCTATTTTAAAAAGTTAAGTAATTAAAAATGGATTTAAAATCATGTCTTTATCACGAGTTGTCTCCGTGGTGTTATATAAGAATATTCGATAAAGTTTAGTGGACATCATTCCTGCTTTATTTCTAATCGATTTCATTCTATTTTTTAAAAATAAGTAATAAGAAAATTAATGATAAACATTTCTACAGCCCGTAACCCTCACCTTTACTGTTATGGACGAGAACATACGAGAAAGTTTAGGGGAGATCACTCCTCCTTTATTTTTTCCTGCTTATATTTAAAATATTTACAGCTATGTACTTTGGAATAGAACCACCTCATGTTTGTTCTGTGAAAGTTGTCTTTCCCTCTCGTCTCATTCTACTTAAAGTCGTCAAATCTTGTACCCCACCCCTCTCGTTGAACGGCTTATCGGTTATTGAAAATACTCAACATTTTTTTCCGTTGTTAACGTTGCAGTTTTCAGTTAGTGTCACCCTCCCCCCCCCCGCTCTTTCCAGTGTTAGCTTTAATATCTACAGCGTTGATATAACGCCATTATCGGTTTCGTCAATTCGTACTTAAAAACGCTATTCAAAATTAATTAACCCTTAACTGAACTGGAATAAAACATTTTTCTCAGTAGAGTTAGCAATTTTTTGCCTAGCTGTCACCCCCCCCCCCCCCCAATCAGTGTGGTGTGCACCCCCGCATCCCTCCGTGTGGGGTTTGCACCCCCGCATCCCTCCTTGTGTGGTGTGCACCCCCGCATCCCTCCTTGTGTGGTGTGCACCCCCGCATCCCTCCATGTGTGGTGTGCACCCCCGCATCCCTCCTTGTGTGGTGTGCGCGCCCGCATCCCTCCTTGTGTGGTGTGCACCCCGCATCCCTCCTTGTGTGGTGTGCACCCCCACATCCCCCTTGTGTGGTGTGCACCCCCACATCCCTCCTTGTGTGGTGTGCACCCCCGCATCCCTCCTTGTGTGGTGTGCACCCCCGCATCCCTCCTTGTGTGGTGTGCATCCCCGCATCCCTCCGTGTGTGGTGTGCACCCCCGCATCCCTCCTTGTGTGGTGTGCACCCCCGCATCCCTCCTTGTGTGGTGTGCACCCCCGCATCCCTTCGTGTGTGGTTTGCACCCCCGCATCCCTCCTTGTGTAGTGTGCACCCCCACATCCATCCTTGTGTGGTGTCCATCGTGTGGTGTGCACCCCCACATCCTTCCTTGTGTGGTGTGCACCCCCACATCCCCCTTGTGTGGTGTGCACCCCCACATCTCCCTTGTGTGGTGTGCACCCCCACATCCCTCCTTGTGTGGTGTGCACCCCCGCATCCCTCCTTGTGTAGTGTGCACCCCCACATCCATCCTTGTATGGTGTGCATCGTGTGGTGTGCACCCCCACATCCCTCCTTGTGTGGTGTGCACCCCCACATCCCTCCTTGTGTGGTGTGCACCGTGTGGTGTGCACCCCCACATCCCTCCTTGTGTGGTGTGCACCCCCACATCCCCCTTGTGTGGTGTGCACCGTGTGGTGTGCACCCCCACATCCCTCCTTGTGACGTATCTACACACACACACACATACATACTCTACCTATGAATTGTATTTACAGCAGAGTTTTAAGCACCTCAAAAATAATAGTTTTTGGGTATTATCCACGTGGTGCATATAGCAGGCTCCGCGATTTTCAAATGGAGAAAACTGCAGAAGTGAACAAGAGGAATTTTGGCCCTTGCTTTACTCAATATAAATTATTAGACTTTATGATGCAATAACTTGAAATTCAGTGAGGACATTTTTAATTAGCAGTGTAATTTGTTTACAGATTTTACGGGATCATATGGACTACCACGAAAAGTTTATCAAACGAGATTTTTTTGGAAAATCACAGAAAGGAGATGGACTAAATGATCTGGAGGCAGATTTTAAAGGCCAAACAGTAGTTAAAAAGATAGCTTATGATGTTAAAAAAGCAGTTACACACAAAGCTCCTGTGGAGAAACCGGCCGGTCAAGGGAAACCTTTAGGTGAAGATCATGAGCAGCAAGATTCCGACTTAAAGGTAGCCGAGTGGGTCTTGTCTCAAGACTTTGATCTCTTTATAAATCGTAGGAAGGAAAGATTAGCCAATTACCAAGGCAACATCCTTGAAATAGAGGAGACGGTTTATGATATACCAAGAGTAAGTTTAGAAGGTGAAGATATTCACATATTATATGATGAAATAGCCCCACTTGAGCTACCATAATGATTGATTTCACCTTTCTTCAAATATTGACTCAATATTTTAGCATAAAATAAAGTAAACATCTTAGCGACAAGTTGGGTTGAACTTATGCTTCCAAAAGTCTTTTGGCAAAAGAATTTTAAAGAATGATAACAATTTTTAGCCTCTGCGTGTACTATGTTTAAAAATTGTGTTCATGTCAGTTTATAAAATAAATCACAAAAACATTTGAATTTGAATAAAAATAAACGTTCTTAAATTTGTATTATCTCTACAACACTTTATATTTCATTAAATGCAGGTCGATAATGTTAGGACACTGTGGACATTTGTACAAAAATGGTTAATAAATATACAATTTCTAAAGTGTTTATTTCTGTTTGGCCTTTTGGCAATATTTTTTTACTTTGTTGGTAGATCAAAATTGTATTCATCTGCAACAACGGCTGAATCACCTTTCGTTACGAGAGTTTAGTGTCAGTAATCATGTAACTGCAGCGTTTTCTTAGTAACAGAGTTGAAAAAGAAACCAAATATACCAATTAGTTTTCTGTAAAAAAAAATTCACTCACAAAGCACATTAAATAAACATTTTAATAGTTAATATTTATTAAATTTCAAACAAAACTAACAGACTTAAATTAATTTTTATTTACTTTAATACTATTAAAATGTTAATACAAGATTTGAAAATGTACTTGGTTGTTTTGTATTTTTATATTACAGTTTATCCTTTTCGAACATTAGAATTATCTCATGTAATATTTGAAATTTGAGTTCAGACATTTTTTAAATATATATATAGATAAAATAAATCATATAACGTTGTTTATTGTAATTTTGTTGAAAGTTATCGATCCACCCACCAAAATATCAAGGTATCTAGCGAGCTGACAATGGATGGGAAAACTATTCAAAGAACTCTATGCCCATTTTATTTTTACTCGATGAGCCCATAGTAGGCCAACACTAAAACAATATGTCGTGAACTATACATATCAACACCAGGCCAACACTAAGCCAATATGTCGTGAACTATACATATCAACACTAAAGCAATATGTCGTGAACCATACATATCAACACCAGGCCAACACTAAAGCAATATGTCGTGAACTACACATATCAACACCAGGCCAACAATAAAGCAATATGTCGTGAACTATACATATCAACACCAGGCCAACATTAGAGCAATATGTCGTGAACTATACATATCAACACTAAAGCAATATGTCGTGAACTATACATATCAACACCAGGCCAACACTAAAGCAATATGTCGTGAACTATACATATCAACACCAGGCCAACACTAGAGCAATATGTCGTGAACTATACATATCAACACCAGGCCAACACTAAAGCAATATGTCGTGAACTACACATATCAACACCAGGCCAACACTAGAGCAATATGTCGTGAACTACACATATCAACACCAGGCCAACACTAAAGCAATATGTCGTGAACTACACATATCAACACCAGGCCAACACTAGAGCAATATGTCGTGAACTATACATATCAATACCAGGCCAACACTAAAGCAATATGTCGTGAACTATACATATCAACAACAGACCAACACTAGAGCAATATGTCGTGAACTATACATATCAACACCAGGCCAACACTAGAGCAATATGTCGTAAACTATACATATCAACAATAAAGCAATATGTCGTGAACTACACATATCAACACCAGGCCAACACTAAAACAATATGTCGTGAACTATACATATCAACACCAAGCCAACACTAAAGCAATATGTCGTGAACTATACATATCAACACCAGGCCAACACTAAAGCAATATGTCGTGAACTATACATATCAACACCAGGCCAACACTAAAGCAATATGTCGTGAACTATACATATTAACACCAGGCCAACACTAGAGCAATATGTCGTGAACTATACATATCAACACCAGGCCAACACTAGAGCAATATGTCGTGAACTATACATATCAACACCAGGCCAACACTAGAGCAATATGTCGTGAACTATACATATCAATACCAGGCCAACACTAAAGCAATATGTCGTGAACTATACATATCAACACCAGGCCAACACTAAAGCAATATGTCGTGAACTACACATATCAACACCAGGCCAACACTAAAGCAATATGTCGTGAACTATACATATCAACACTAAAGCAATATGTCGTGAACTATACATATCAACACCAGGCCAACACTAAAGCAATATGTCGTGAACTATACATATCAACACCAGGCCAACACTAAAGCAATATGTCGTGAACTATACATATCAACACCAGGCCAACACTAAAGCAATATGTCGTGAACTATACATATCAACACCAGGCCAACACTAGAGCAATATGTCGTGAACTATACATATTAACACAAGGCCAACACTAGAGCAATATGTCGTGAACTATACATATAAACACCAGGCCAACACTAAAGCAATATGTCGTGAACTATACATATCAACACCAGGCCAACACTAAAGCAATATGTCGTGAACTATACATATTAACACCAGGCCAACACTAAAGCAATATGTCGTGAACTATACATATCAACACCAGGCCTACACTAAAGCAATATGTCGTGAACTATACATATCAACACTAAAGCAATAGGCCTATGTCGTAAACTATACATATCAACACCAGGCCAACACTAAAGCAATATGTCGTGAATTATACATATCAACACCAGGCCAACACTAGAGCAATATGTCGTGAACTACACATATCAACACCAGGCCAACACTAGAGCAATATGTCGTGAATTATACATATCAACACCAGGCCAACACTAGAGCAATATGTCGTGAACTATACATATCAATACCAGGCCAACACTAAAGCAATATGTCGTGAACTATACATATCAACACCAGGCCAACACTAGAGCAATATGTCGTGAACTATACATATCAACACCAGGCCAACACTAGAGCAATATGTCGTAAACTATACATATCAACACCAGGCCAACAATAAAGCAATATGTCGTGAACTATACATATCAACACTAAAGCAATATGTCGTGAACTATACATATCAACACCAGGCCAACACTAAAGCAATATGTCGTGAACTATACATATCAACACCAGGCCAACACTAAAGCAATATGTCGTGAACTACACATATCAACACCAGGCCAACACTAGAGCAATATGTCGTGAACTATACATATCAATACTAGAGTTTCTTTCAGGCATCTCTTTCGGAACGAAATGGAATTTATATTTAAAATATTTTTTTACCAGTGTCCGTCCCCCACGCCCGAAAATATCAAGTCCCCCCTCCTCCCTAGGAGAAAAAAAGTCTTAAAGAAACTCTGATCAACACTTTGTATAAGAAATAAACATTTTTAATAAAAAGCTCGTAATTCCTCCCCCAACTAAGCCCATGACTGTCCAAGTATAACAATCAGCTGTCTGGTCCTAATACATTTTAGAAATAGGCACATAGACTGATACAATGTTATCTATCTACAGAAAGACTACACCTAATCAATTAAGCCCGGAATATAAAGCAATTCATTCTACCTTTACAAATAGTCAGTGGTTCTAGGGCTGTAGTGTGATCAGAATGGTTGATTCGGTCAGTGGTTCTAACGCTGTAGTGTGATCAGAATGGTTGATTCGGTCAGTGGTTCTAGCGCTGTAGTGTGACCAGAATGGTTGATTCGGTCAGTGGTTCTAGCGCTGTAGTGTGATCAGAACAGGGGCGGAACTACAGTGCCGCCAGACCCCGCAATTCGGGGGGGCCCACGACGTTTAGGGGCCCAATTCCGACAAAAAAAACCAATGAATTTTCTTTTCATAAATAATATTTAGCAGTGATTGTTCTACAGCAGGGGTCGGCAACCTTTTGAAGCGGAAGAGCCAAAAGTTACAATTTTGAAAATTTCCCTGGTTTTAAAGAGCCACTAACATTTTTTTTATTTCAAATATTATATTTTTTGATTAAGATTATTAGTATTTGTGCAAGGAGCTGGAGAGCCGCATCTTGATATCAAAAGAGCCGCATGCGGCTCGCGAGCCGCAGGTTGCCGACCCCTGTTCTACAGTAACAAACACACACTGTTGCGCAGAAAAATATAAAATCTACAAGAGCTGTAGTTTGAAAGATAGGCAAACGTTCAAACTACTTCCATGACTTACTGCCCTTCATTAAAATAGGGGTGCCCATAAAGCTCATTTAAATTGTTTTGTACTATGTAAGTTTAAAAGCAATTTCTTCTCTTAATTATTATTTAAATAAAGCATACTAAAGAATCCTTAAGCTATAAAAATGAATGTATTCAAAACTAATAATATAAATACAAAAAATTATAAAAATAAACATAACGCGAGAAACCACTGCACAAATCAGCTTACGTGTTTATATTAATTTGACCAGCCTGGAAAAATTACAGTTGTTTGTCATTTTGCGATAACATAAAAATGTAATAAAAACACTTGTAAAAAAGGGATTATTTCGGGCCCCGAAATGAGTTCGGACTTACTTTTGTCTGGTTCGTTATCTCAGAGTGGTTATACATTGAAATGAAATAGATTAAAATACTCAGGTAATAGACAATTTAAAATTTAGAGAAGCACGCTACTTATATTATATATATATATATATATATATATATATATATATATATATATATATATATAATATATATATATATATATATATATATATATATATATATATATATATATATATATATATATATATATATATATATATATACATATAGGGGGGCCCAAAAAATTTTTTTGCGGGGGAGCCTTTTTTTTCTAGTTCCGCCACTGGATCAGAATGGTTGATTCGGTCAGTGGTTTCAACGCTGTAATAAAACATATTGGTAAAATATTAGACTTTAAATCACATTGGTAAAATATTCCTGTTTTACAAATCTTTTTCCGAAACACCAGAACCACAGTGGATTAATATCTGCTAAAACAAGATCATAATTATCGATTGTTGTAATATTGTATAGAGTAATCAGTGCGTAAAAATGTTTTTAGCTACGGCTGGTGAACCAAAACAACCTGACGGGGCAGGCTTCCCGACGTCGTAACCACTTGACGGGCCAGGCTTCACGACGTCGTAACCACTTGACGGGCCAGGCTTCACGACGTCGTAACCACTTGACGGGCCAGGCTTCACGACGTCGTAACCACTTGACGGGCCAGGCTTCACGACGACCTAGCAAATTTTAAGTCAGGTTTTATAATTAAAAATACATTTTAAACGTACTTTGTCCGAAGTCTTCATCTTGTCCGATTCTGACTCTAGAGGCTACTTAAATGCAGCATGAAACGAAAAACTGTGTTACACAGGATCAAAGGGTAAGTATTGAAATACTTAAGTTAATTATCCGTTTTTACAGATTTTCTTGTTGCTGCTTATTATAAAAAATGATAATTAACAAACGAAATTTTAACAGATTTTTGGAAGGTTTCGGCGCACCGCCAAGGCTGTGTATCATGTTCTACTATTAGCCATTCGAACACAAAAGTGAGTTTTAATTACACAATCTGATCATAAGCCTGTCTTGTAAAAAGTATGCTGCATATAATTAAACAGAAAAGCACACAATGCCTCCTCCCGGCATCAAAGCTGCCCACTACAACCTCACCCCGCCACCCCCTCCCCCACCAATGTGCCCTAACAGTGACCCATAAATCTAATTTCCCTTTAGTTATAACAAGAACATGGGTTGCTTCATTATGTATTAAATGGTCACTATATTACTTATCAATATATTATACATTAAATGAAATGTTATGAGACATAACGAGGTTCCTTATCTATAATTCGCGCGTTTCTGTCGGCTGATGCAATATTTTAAGAGGATTTCATCAATGTGCCATTGATAGTGGATCTACATCTAGCTACTTTAGCTAAAGTGCTTAGCGACATCTCTGACACATAAGCGAACGCGAGATGTGTTCTACCTCACCATTAAAGGAGGTTGATAAAGGTGCACGTAAGGTTTTCATACAGCACGCCCTTGGAGGTGGTGTGGACAAACCCGCAGAGTTTCTTCCAGGCATCTCGAAGAATAAAAGTCTGGAAGAAACACTGCAAACCTGTACGACAACAACTATGATCCACGAAATAAAGTATATATATATATATATATATATATATATATATATATATATATATATATATATATATATATATATATATATCTTCTATATATATAAAAAAGCAATGTGTGTGTGTGTGTCTGTCTGTGTGTCTTTTATGCATTACCACACCTCTTATCACATCGCCGTGAAACTTTGGGAAGTTGTTGAGAATATTCCTGAGGAGGTTTCTGCGAAAAAAAAAATTTCAAATTCGCAGGGGTGGCGCCCCGGCAGGGCGCGATTTGTTATTCTCTATATAAAAGTCTATTTTGATTTCACACTGTTTATCCGATAGCCATGAGACTTTGGGGAGTTCATTATACCACTCTAGGGAAGGGTTCTGTAAAAAAATAATTTTTAATTTCGCAAGGGCGGTGCCAGGGGAGGGTCCGATTTTTCTCGATTTACGGTATATAAAAATGAAAGTCTATTTTGATTTCACACTGTTTATCCGATAGGCATGAAACTTTGGGGAATTGACTAGAACACTCTAGGGAAGGTTCTGTACAAAAATCATTTTTAATTTCGCAAGGGCGGCGCCACGGGAGTGTGCGATTTTTCTCTATATACAGTATATAAAAATAATAAAAGTGAATTGCCGTGATACCGTTCACACGATCGCCATGAAACTTTAGAAAGTTGTTGAGAATATTCCTGGGAGGTTTCTGCGAAAACAAAAATTCAAATTCGCAGGGGTGGCGCCCCGACACGGCGCGATTTGTTTTTTTCTATATACGGTATATAAAAATAAAAGTCGATTTTGGTTTGGCATCGTTCATCCGATAGCCATGAGACTTTGGGGAGTTCATTATACCACTCCAGGGAAGGGTTCTATAAAAAAAAAATTTAATTTCGCAAGGGCGGCGCCACGGGAGGGTGCGATTTTTCTCTATTTACGGTATATAAAAATAATAAAAGTGAATTGCAGTGACACCATTTATCCGATAGGCATGAAACTTTGGGGAGTTCATTATAAAGCTCTAGGGAAGGGTTCTGTAAAAAATCATTTTTAATTTCGCAAGGGCGGCGCCACAGGAGGGTGCGATTTTTCTCTATATTAGGTTTATAAAAATAAGTCGATTTTGGTGTGACACCGTTATCCGATAGCCATGAGGCTTTGGGGGAGTTGATTAGAACAATTCAGGGAAGGGTTCTGTAAAAAAAATCCTTTTTTAATTTCGCAAGGGCGGCGCCACGGGCGGCTGCGATTTTTCTCTATATACGGTTTATAAAATTTCGGTTTCACACCGTTCATTCGTGTATCATGAGACTTTGGGGAGATGATTAGATCACTCAATGGTAGGGTTCTGCAAAAAATTTTATTTAATATTGCAAGGGCGGCGCACCCCCTCCGGGGGGAGCGATTTTTTTCTCTATACACGGTATAAAAAAAAAACTCGGATGCGGTTCATCCGAGTGCCATGAAACTTTAGGGAGTAGATGAGAATACTCCCGAGAATATTTCTTCGAAAAAGAAAACTAAAGTTTCTTATGGGCGGCGCCATATAGGGTACAACTTTCGTCAACACACGGTTTGGCGCCCAGAGTTTTAGAGCGACTAAGTTGGCACTTGGCATCCGTTAATCGAGCGTTCTGCATAGCGAGTAAGGGGTACTACTATATTCAACGGTAAAACTACAACAGGCTTCTAAAAATAACTTTGTAAAGCGAGGAAATCCTTCTGTACAGTTTCGTCACCTTGCGAAAGATGAAAAAGTAACGTTTTGAATATGAGGAGCCTACTGTAGAGTTTCGTCACTTTGCGAATGATGCAATAAGCATCTATTATTAGACAATCCAGTCAGAAATTGAGATCGAGCATCTAATAATAGACCATTAGTAACGCTAGCATATTGCATCAGTCACACTAATGTTTAAAACACGTCAAATACTTTTTTTACGTGTTAAAGAAAAAAATCCTGTTTATTTGTGTCACTTTAGCGAATGACGAAATCTGCATCATTATTAACATGATGCTATTTGGCACGATGGCGCCTGTTAGTTTTAAGGAGCCAGGGGTCGTACGCCGCGCCTATGCGGTAGTGTAATCGGGGGGTGGGGGCCCTGAGAGCGCCCCTCTACGTCTCTGACACATGGGCGGTCACCGAAGTGTTCTACCATATCATTTCGGTGAGCGATTAATGTACACTCAATGTTTTCATGCGGTAGTGTAGGTGAACCCGTATCCCGATATTTATGATCCATTGTTTACATTTAAATAACTCACTTTTAGAAAAGACGGTCACGCGTCTAAGAACATATGATTGGTAACGCGTTGGTGAAATCCTAATACATTCGTCAAACTTTCTTCTATCCCCGCGGCAACGCGGGGGGGGGGGGGGGGGTACGCTAGTCTATCTATATATATAAAAAGCAATGTACGTGTGTGTGTGTGTCTGTGTGTGTGTCTGTCTGTCTGTGTGTCTTTTATGGGAAGGGTTCTGTACAAAAATCATTTTTAATTTCGCAAGGGCGGCGCCACAGGAGGGTGCCATTTTTCTCTATATACGGTATATAAAAATAATAAAAGTGAAATGCAGTGACACCGTTTATCCGATAGGCATGAAACTTTGGGGAGTTCATTATAAAACTCTAGGGAAGGGTTCTGTAAAAAATCATTTTTAATTTCGCAAGGGCGGCGCCACGGGAGGGTGCGATTTGTCTCTATATACGGTTTATAAAAAATAAGAGTCGATTGCAGATTCACACTGTTCATCCAATCGCCGTCAAACACTGGAGAGTTGATTAGAGCAATTTAGGGAAGGGTTCTGTAAAAAAAAAAATCATTTTTAATTTCGCAAGGGCGGCGCCACGGGAGGGTGCGATTTTCCTCTATATACAGTATATAAAAATAATAAAAGTGAATTGCAGTGACACCGTTCACACGATTGCAATGAAGCTTTGGGAAGATGTTGAGAATATTCCTGGGGAGGTTTCTGCGCAAAAATCATTTTGATTTCGCAAGGGCGGTGCCACGGGAGGGTGCGTTTTTTCTCTTTATACAGTATATAAAAAAAATTGAATTGCAGTGACACCGTTCACACGATCGCCATGAAACTTTGGGAATATGTTCCTGGGGAGGTTTCTGCTTAAAATACATTTTCAAATTTGCAGGGGTGAAGCTCCGGAGGGCGCAATTTGTTTTCTCTCTATATACGGTATATAAAAATAAAAGTCGATAGCGGTTTTAAAGCGTTCATCCGATCGCCATCAAACTTTGGAAAGTTGATTAGGAGACCCTGGGGACGGGTCCTGTAAAAAAAGTCATTTTTATTTTCGCAAGGGCGGCGCCACAGGATGGTGCGATTTTCTTTATACGGTATATAAAATAAACGTCGATTGCAGTTTCACGACGTTCATCCGATAGCCAACTTTGGGGAGTTGATTAGAACACTACCTGGAATGGTTCTGCAAAAAAAAAATTATTTTGCAAGGGCGGCGCCAGGGGGGGGGTGCGATTTTTTACTATATACGGTATATGAAAAACAAAAGTCGATTGCAATTTTAACCCTTCATCAGATCGCCATGAAACTTTGGTGAGTTTACTAAAACACTTGGGGGAAGGGTTTTTGTAAAAAAAAATCATTTTTAATTTCGCAGGGCAGCACCAAGGGAGTGTGCGATTTTTCTCTGTGTACGGTATATAAAAAATAAAAGTCAGATTTTGTTCGACAGCTATCATCCAAGTATCATGAAACTTTAGGGAGTTGATGAGAATATTCCCGAGAAGGTTTCTGTGAACAAAATAATGAAAATATGATATGGGTGGCGCCTGCGAGGTTGCGATTTTTGTCAATACACAATTTGGCGACAAGAGTTCCAGAGCGGCTATGTTAGCACGTGGCATCTGTTAATCGTGCGCCTTGCATAGCGGGTAAGGGGTACTAAGGGGTACTATGGAAATCAGCGTTAAAACTTCAACAGGCGCAACCGTCGGCGCCCCATAGATTGCACGACCCGAAGCGCCCCGGGCTCCCCTGCGAACATTATGGCGCCTACGTTAATTAAAAACAGGCTATACACTAAAGACACGATGGACAAGAATAATCATTGACTATATCGAACCAGGCGCTTTCCCTGGCGCCCCTGCGGGGATCAATTTGGGACCCTGGGCTTTCATGTGAGCACAATTGCACCTACGTTCGTTCTAAACAGTGCAGTAGACAATGGATAAAATGGGCCGTTACAGTCGCTCACTAAATTGAATCAGACGTGCTAGACGATCCAATCAGAAATTGAGATCGAGCTTCTAATAATATGCCATTGGTAACGCTAACAAATTGCATCAGTCACACTGATGTTTATAACACTTCAACAAAAACAAATTTCATGTTTAAAAACCCTTTTGATTTGTGTAACTTTAGCGAATGATGCATTCTGCATCATTGTTTCTGGAGACTATGAGGCGCTCTGGGTTATCCTGTTAGCACATGTTATTTTTAAAGAGCCAACAGCCCTACGCTGCGCCTCTGCGGTAGTGTTATTTGGGGGATCCCGTGAGTGCCTCTCTACGTTTCTGATACATGCCAGTTGTACAGAGGGTATGTACCTTCTGTTTTTCACATAAAATACAATGATTATATAGGGAAATACGACTGGTCAGTTTTGACCACTTAACGAAGTTTTCCCAGATATGCAGAGTTTTTTATGACACCCCTAGGCGTTCTTCTACCACCTCACAAACTATCAATGGGGGGTCGTAAGACAGAAATTGTTTTTCGTTATATAGCTCAAATAAGGAGAATTTC